GCCCCGGCCGGCACGGAGGGGCCCGCCGCCGGCATGCTGCCCGTCCTCTGCACCGCCCTGGCGGGGCTGCTGCTGCTGCCGCTGCTGGCGAACTTCTGCTGCCCCCACTTCTTCCAGGACATGGGCTACTTCCTGCAGGTGGCCGGCGTGGCCCGGCGGGTGCGCGGCTACGGGCAGCGGCGGCCGGCGCGCACCGTCCTGCGCGTGTTCCTGGAGAGGGCGCGCCAGACGCCGCACAAAGCCTTCCTGCTCTTCGGCGACGAGACGCTCACCTACGCGCAGGTGGACCGGCGCAGCAACCAGGCGGCCCGGGCGCTGCACGACCACCTCGGCCTGCGCCAAGGAGACTGCGTGGCGATCTTTGTGGGGAACGAGCCGGCCTACGTGTGGCTGTGGCTGGGGCTGGCCAAGCTGGGCTGTGTCATGTCGTGCCTCAACTACAACATCCGCGCGAAGTCCCTGTTGCACTGCTTCCAGTGCTGCGGGGCGAAGGTGCTGCTGGCCTCCCCAGGTGAGCCCCGGGGACCGCCCGCCCTGGCACTGGGGCGCCTCCGCGCCTGGCGAACCGGCGGCCGTGTGGTGTGGGGGCTTGCGGGGGGGTCAGGTCGGAACTAGAGGTGTAGGAGGAGATGTTAGCAGTGTTCCGTGATCGCTTAGAACCACCTGTTGTGGACGTTGATTACGCGCTCGGCAGTGTCTTAAGCACGATGCATATAATGCTGCTTTCGATTCTCACAACGGATGGGGTGTACTATGGGGTTTTGTAGATGAGACCACTGAGGCCCGGAGAGGCGAAGCCTCGTGCCCAGGTTACAGAGCTGGTAGATAATCAGGGCTGTCTCTGCGCAGTCCAAGCTCTTAACCAACTTTCCCCGTACAACCTCTGCTTTAAAATGCAGAGGATCGATCTTGAGCGTAAAGTCCAGTGCGTCCTGAAGGACTGTTCTCCCCTCTGCTGCTTGATTGGCTGTGTGATCTTGGGAAGGTTACTTCTCTCTGTCCTTGGTTTTCTCCTCTGTAACGGGAGTCTTCAGAGTTGCTTCCAGCGGATACCATCCCTGGTTTCTCACTGGTGAGAGAAGACGACCCCACCTGCTCCCAAGGGAGAAAGCTTTAGGGATCTGCTGGAGGACCTTTGTGAGTCCCCACTGCATCGATAGCAACAGCGACCCCTTCGGTTCTGTGGTTCTCTCCTGCCACATTTCAAGCAGACCTGAAATGGTAACTTCATGCTAAAGTGGTGACAGGCCGAGAAATAGCGGAGAATCTGTTACCCAGATTGCTGATGGTTTTCACCTCCGGGAGAGCTTGTCCCTGCACTTAAATAAGGACCGGGTCTTGTTTCTCTCAATTAGCAAGAGGAGACCTATCCAGGGTTGAGCTGAAAGACCTGGGTGACAGAGCAGGGGCCTAGGGAGCCAAGAAGCCTCACTTTTCTGGGATACCTTTCTGTGCCAAGCCCTGTGCTGGATGCTTTTATTACCCCAGGAGATAACGTCACTACAACACCACCCCCACTGCCATTATACAGTTGAGATAACTAAGGCTTTAAATTCCAACCTAGGTCTGTTAACTTCAAAGCCCACTAGCTCTTTCCTACATGATGCTGTCTTCATCTTATGGATGTAAAGAGTTGTTGAACTGGAAGGGATCAAGTGTCCATCTGCCATACCCCCTCGTTTCATAGCTGGGTGAGGCAAGCTAAGCCCGTTGCCTAGTGTCATAGAAAGACAAAATGTTGATTCACTTGTGAGAAACCAGGAGGCTAACATACCTGCTTCGTGTGGCAAAATAAATATATGATTTATTATTGAATATTGAATAATTCAAAAAATATAGGCCCTGTATAAAAGTTTAAAAACAGAAAGACCTGTGTAAAGATGGCTAAATTATTTGAAGGAGACAGCCTATTCAAAAAAATTTCCAACAATTTCTACTTGCCTGGAAAGAGAGACACCTTCACTATTTAGTAACTGGAAGGTTCACTTAAGCCTGTTATTTTACCAGCTTTGGAGAAGTTATTAACATAGTGATCTTTGTACCATACTATTTTAGGGGATATTTAAATTGTATTCACCTCTTTAGGCGAGAGGATTGCCTGAGCCTGGGGGTTTGAGACCGGCCTGGGCAAGTTTGCAAGACCACATCTCTACAATAAATCAAAAACTTAGCTGGGCATAGTGACATGCCCCTGTAGTTCCAGCTACTTGGGCTGAGGTGGAAGGATTGAGCAGAGCAGGTGAAGACTGCGGTGATCATGAGCATGCCGCTTCACATGCTCCTGCACTCCAGCCTGAGCAACAGAGTTAGACTCCTACTCAAAAAAAAGAATCACCTGGGAAGCTTATTTTTAAAAACAGATATCTGAACTCCATATCCCAAAATGCTGATTCAATATGACTATGGTGAGGATCAGGAATGTGTATTTTTGTAAGAAGCCCCACCCCAAGCCCAGGTGACTTTGAAGCAAATGGTTTGAAGACTAGGCTTTGAGAAATAATTAGTGTAGCTTCCACTTGTTTTATCATTGAACAAAGGCCCATAGGAGCGATATGAATTGTCCAGGGGTTATTGGGTAGTAAATAACCGAAAGGTAGAGATAGAATTTTTTTCCTCTCACTTCCAGGGCACTTTTTATTCTATCACATCATCTAACATGATACATAAAGGTGAGTTTGATTCTGTTCTTTGAATTTCAGCCACAGGGCTTATGGGCTCATAAGAGCTTTTAAGCTCCAACTATCTGTCAAATTCTGGAGTATAGGTAAAGGGCAGGTGCTGTGGCATTTATCATAACACAAGGATTGATCTAGTTGTCATGACTTTTTGGGGTCTCTTCATAGAGCTTAACATGGCTCAGTCCTATCAGGAATTTCAGTACTCAATTACCTTCTTAATTTACTACACTTAAAGAAAGTCAAGACTCATGAACACTTTCCTGAATCAAGTGGAAAGCACTGTGTGCCAGAGAATATTTTCTCTGTGTGTTGTACATTTCAGAATCATTCGCCACAGCAGGGTGTGATCTAGGTAATCACATGGAAAACTTGTCTTCAACTTATATGAACCTGTATCGATGTTGTAGTTGATAAAAATCAGATGGCTGGGCTGGTAGTTTTTCATACAGCTTCCCAAACACAGAATGTAGGTTAAAACAGGAAAGCATATTTAATTTCACACATGGGATAACTTGTAAAACCATCCAGTAGAGGCCTGAAATAGTCAATTTGCTCTGTTTCCATTTATACTAGCAATAAGATCATCATTAAATTAACTCTTCTGCTATAAAGATAACTCGAGTCTCTGAGGGTCTCTTCAGCTCACTGCCCAGGTCTTCACTGCCTGGTTCAGCGTAACCATGCAAAGTTCCCACTGTGTAGGTACTAATTGTTTACAAAACTTTAGTGACAGTTTAAGGTACACTCTTGCAAGATAGAGACACAGAGAGGTTACAAAATTTTCCAGGTTATCTTTGAACTGATTTTGCAAGGTTGCAAAACACAAAGTTGGATCTCCTTTAAACAATGTGATAAGGGAAAGTGCTTCCAGTAGCTTTCAAAAACATTGCATCACCGAAAGCTCAAAAACCAGAGAATTTCATTGTAAAACATGAGTTGGGACCAAGGATAACTCTACCCACTCCCCCACCTCCCCTGGATAACTCTTATCATATGCATATTTGAGGTTGAGTTGAGAAAAGCATATAGCACCATTTTATTTTATTTTATTTTATTTATTTATTTTTTGAGTTGGAGTCTCACTTTGTCACCCAGACTGGAGTGCAGTGGCCGCTCCCGGCCACCGCAGCCTCGACGTGCTGGGCTCCGGTGATCCTTCCGCCTCAGCCTTCCGAGTAACCGGAATTACAGGCACGCACTACCACGCCTGGCTGATTTTTTGCTTTATTATAGAGAGGAGGTCTCGCCGCCCGGGCGGGTCTCGAACCCGTGGGCTCAGGCAATCCACTCACCTCAGCCTCCCAAGGCGCGGGATTACAGGCTGAGCCACCGAGCCCAGCTCCATTTGATTTTAAATCAAGAAAATTTAGAGGGTCTCGACAAGGTACAAGCTAGTTGCCATGATAGGATGGGAAGATAAAAAGTTGAATCAGTTCAAGGATCTTACAATCTAGTAAAAGAACTAACCCCAATACACAAGTAATTGTGACACCCAGAAGTATGTGCTAAGTACGCTGGGAGAGCTACAAGTGCTGAAGAAAAATGAGCAGAAGACAAAAAAGAAGGCTTCTCAGGGGTATTGACACTCGAGCTGCACAAGTGTAGTTGGGAAGGGGGGCATTCCAGGAAAAAGAAGTACCAGAGATAGTTGTGATCAGGTTCTTAACACAGTGAAATACTTCATAAAAGAGTTTTATGGGCCAGGCATAGTGGTGCATACCTGTAATCCCAGCATTTTGGGAGGCAAAGGCAGAATGGTAGCCTGAGGCCAAGAGTTCAAGACCAGCCTGGGCAATACAGTGATACTCCCATCTCTACAAAAAATTGAAAAATTAGCCAGATGTGGTGGCACACGAACCTGTAGTCCCATCTACTTGGGAGACTGAGGCTTGAGGATTGTTGCTTGAACCCAACAGTCCAAAGTTACAGGGCACTATGATCACACCACTGCACTCCAGTCTGGGTGACAGAGCAAGACCTTGTCTCAAAAAAAGAGCCTGCAGGGGAGGACTTAGTATGCTACCTTGAATTTTTAAAAAAATTTTCTTTGAACAAAACAGACTTTAAGTGGGAGTAATATTGTAGTCATTCGATTTTTCATTATCCAAGTGTGCACTGCTTTCTCTGAGAGTTTATTTCAATCCACAATTTAAAACTAGACTAATAAAGAACTGATGGAGCTATTCTACACACTTCAGGCAACTTTCTGTGACTACTATTTCTCATGCTCAAGCTTTTGATAAAGTTTGAGGTTATGCTCTTCATCAATAAAATGAACAAGAGACCATCCATATTACTTTATTTATTTATTTACTTATTTGAGTTGGAATCTCACTTTGTCACCCAGGCTGAAGTACAGTGACACGATCACAGCTCACTACAGCCTCAACCTTCTGGTTTCACATCATCCTTCTGCTTCAGCTTTCCAAAGAGCTGGGACTATAGGTGCATGCCACTGTACCCGGCTCTTTTATTTTTTTATTTTTTGTGGAGACAAAGTCTCGCTATGTTGTCTAGGCTGGTCTCGAACTCCTGGGCTCAAATAATCCTCTTACCTTAGCCTGCCAAAGTGCTGGGATTACAGGCATGAACCATACCTGGCTCCATACTACTCTTTAAGGACAGATCCACATGCTTCAAAACGCGTGGAGCAGAAGGTCAAGTAAGCAGCCTCTTCCAAAGAGTAAAAAACTTTTACAAAACTTAACCTGAACCCCCAGTACAGGGAGGTGGGCATCCCAGAAACCCAGTATGTATGATTATTTGCATTTTGTATGTAACCTTCCATGCATTGGCTTGCTAAACCTCTTCTCATTTGTAGAAGCAGAGTTACCGGTATCTACATTGCAGGATTGTTGTGAAAATTATTTGAAGTGATGGATGTAAAGCTGCTACACAAACTGTTCCATACAAATCCAAAATTTTAAATTTTGTGGTGAGTAAAGAGAGATGGTTAGATTCTGTGATGTGCCACCCAGATCCCCTCTTTATGCCTAAGGGACTCATTTCTTAGCTGCTGAGAACTCTCAGCCGAGACACCTTCCCCTTGACTGAAGAGAGCCACTTTGCCCAAGGTCAAGCACCACCACCCCAGCCTGAGTCTACTGACTGGTTGATGGACAAGCATGAAGACACAACCCACCTCTCTTAATCTGGGACATCTCTAAAGGGCCATCCCAGATCCAGAGTCCCCTAGAATCAGAGGATCAGCTGAGGGAGGTACCTGTTGTAACTGCATCAGTTCAATTTGTCTCTATCCAGTCTGCTTCCCTTGCAACTTCATGGGTCCTGGTCCCAAGAGAACTTCTGCACACACAGCCCAGAGACTCAGAACCCAACTTGGCAAATAGAATGATTGGCGCTTATATGTCCTGGTTGACTGTTACTCTTAGGTGAGCAAACCTTATGATAAGAATTACAGGGCAGAGTGTGGTAGCTCACTCCTGTAATCCCAACACTTTGGGAGGCCCAGGCAGGAGGATTACTTGAGCCTAAGAGTTTGAGACCTTGTCTCAACAAAAAAGAAAAAAAAATTAGCCAGGCCTGGATGTGCCTGTCTGTAGTCCCCGCTGCTTGGAAGAATCACCTGAGTCCAAAAGGCTCGAGGCTGCAGTGAGCTGTGATCATGCCACTGCACTCCAGCCTGGCAACAGAGTGAGATTCCACCTCCTCACCCCCAGAGAAAAAAAAAACAAAAAAAATTCAGATGTGAAGTAGAAAACATGTAGGGCCAATCCTATCTATAAAATACTCAAGAAAAGAAGAAAATACATTAAATAGCAACTAGGTAGTTGACAGGCAGCATTCCCATTCTTAGTTGACTTTCAAATGTTAGTTTTTATGTATACATCTTTAATTTAAAAGTAAGGCAACTGTCATGTGTCCTGATATGGTTGGCAAGCCACTGAAATGTCAAGTCTGTCCAAATAAGAGATACTCTGCCAACAGCCTAGAGGACAGGGAGGAAAATTGTGTTGGACAGGGCCACCGGCCATCCCTTCAGATGAGATGACTTCTGCAAAAAGGTCAGGGATCACAAACTAAATGCTGCAGAGGGTCAGCTGGCAACATGAATGAGGTATACATGATGCCACATGATGACACCTGCTTAGTTGCATTTCCTTTTATTTTTATTATTACTATTATTAATTTTTAAGATATAACTAATACTGAGTACATTTTTCTTTTCAAAATACTACTGAAACACTTGAAGTCCCTTTTGACCTACCATCTTCCTTTAGTTAAGACCTACCAGGCTGCGCTTGGTGGCTCAGCTTGTAATCCCAGCGCTGTGGGATGCTGAGGTGAGTGGACTACCTGAGTTGGCGGGTTCGAGACCCGCCCGGGCAACTTGGCGAGACCTCATCTCTACAATAAATCAAAAATTAGCCGGGCATGGTAGTGCATGCCTGTAGTTCCAGATACTTGGAAGGCTGAGGCGAAAGGATCACCGGAGCCCAGCAAGTAGAGGCTGCGGTGGCCGGGAGTATGCCACTACACTCCAGCCTGGGTGACGGAGTGAGACTCCAACTCAAAAAAACAAAAAAGGCCTACCATCTTCCTTTGGTTAAATACATATTTCAACCAACCATCTGCTGTGCTGGTGAAACCATCAAAGATAGAAAATCCTATCTTTTCTTCCGCCAAATTATCTCTTAAATACATTCGCTTCTCTCTACCCACTGCTGCCACGATAATGTAGACAAGCTGATCTCCCTACCCTCTGGTCATGCCCCCTTTCATCTACTTACCCGACTTTACTCAGGCCCTCGGGGACCTGGCTGGTCTCTACCTAAATCACTATCCTCTCCTCCCAGCCTTATTCTCCTCCCACTCCACATTCCAGTCAGTTTCAGCCTCTACACCCTACCCTGTTCATTTTCTCTGGGCCTTTGCATAAGTTGTTCCTGCTGTGAAACACTGGCTTGGCTCAGTCTCAGATCTTCATCTCACCAACCCTTGTAGTCATTTAGGTCTCAGTTTAGACAGCATTACCTCTGGGTTATCTTTGTCCACCATGCTCCAACTTGTGCCTCCCAAACACCTTTTTCTTTCCCTGTTGTAACACCTGTGGCACTTTGTTTTGACTGTTTCTGTTTCCTTCCCTATTAGACCTACGCTCTATGAACACAGGGACAGTGTCTGTTTTGCTGACTGCTGCATCCAGTGCTTAGAACCCTGCCTGGCACATATGAACACTCTTTACAGAGGCATTCAATAAATGTTGGGGGTGTGGGCGCAGATGAAAATAAGAGTGAATCCAGGTAACTTATGAATAGATTGTTGGACTATATAACCTCATCTCAGGAAAAGAGGAAGGGAGGAAGAGAGATTTCTTAACTCTTCAAGTAGCAGTAGATGTTTTTACATTGGCCTCTGTGAGCCCTTACTTGTATGCAAGGCATACCTGTATCACAGAAATTCTTTCACTTTACATTATATTTCATTAAAGGTTTATCAACTCACAGATCTGAATCCTTCAAATCAGCAGCTTTGTTTATTCCTGTCTTATATAACACTTTACGCAGTTTCTTTCCATTATAAACATTTTAAATATCTTTTGAGCACTTATCTAGTGTTGAGGTACAAAGATGATTTTGTTATAATTCCTCAATCTCAAAGACTTCATTGTCTTATAGACAAATACATTTATGTGTGATCCAGTACCTACATACCCACGTAACTGAAACGAAATTAAAAAAAACAAAACAAGACAATACTTACCTTTTACTCTGTGCAATGTACTCCCGTGTTTCTATTCCATTCTATTTTGATTTTTTAAAATATTGCTCACTTTGAATGTTTTTAACAATCCCCTGCTGTACTGTGATCCACAGTTTGGAAAACACTGCTCTAAAATTAATTACTCCTTTTTTCTCAGACCAGAAGATATGCTATGAAATTTAGAGCTTATTTCTCAGATCAGCTAAACCTTCCTAGGAAACTACTTGTTAGCAATGTGTAAAAAATTGTTATGTGAAGTTGGCTTTTATCATCTTTGTTGGTTAGCATGATTTCCTTCTTTTCATTTTTCTTCTCCTTTCATTTTTTTATAAATTACTCGTCCTGTGGGACACATATTAGGAAAAGTTAAATTCATTTCTGAAGTGTTTTCTTTTCTTTTCTTTTCTTTTCTTTTCTTTTCTTTTCTTTTCTTTTCTTTTCTTTTCTTTTCTTAAGTTGGAGTCTCACTCTGTCGCCCAGACTGGAGTGCAGTGGCCGTTCCTGGCTACCGCAGCCTCGACCTGCTGGGCTCCGATGATCCTTCTGCCTCAGCCTTCCAAGTAGCTGAAACTACAGGCGCGCGCTACCATGCCCGGCTAATTTTTGATTTATTGTAGAGATGAGGTCTCACCAAGTTGCCCAGGCTGGTCTCGAACCCGCGGGCTCAGGCAATCCACTCACCTCAGCCTCCCAAAGGCGTGGGATTACAGACTGAGCCACCGAGCCCGGCAGAAATACAGATTTCAACTAACAATCTGGTATGCTGGTGAAACCATCAAAATACAACCTTCCCTCAAATATTGGAATCTTGTGACTTTTTTTCAAATGAAGCAATTGCATAACTGTAGATATCACTTGTCACGTCCACACATTTTAGCAAAAATTACGCCAAAAAAAATATGAAGCTTGTTGAAACACTGATGGAACTTTAATGGATTGTTTGTGTGGCTTTTTTTTCCTCATGAAATTAAGAACTACAAGCAGCTGTTGAAGAGGTAGTGCCATGCCTGAAAAAAGATGATGTGTCTATCTATTATGTGAGCAGAACTTCTTACACAGATGGGGTTGATACTCTCCTGGACAAAGTAGATGAAGTGTCAAGTGAACCTACCCAGAGTCATGGAGGTCTGAAGTCACCCTTTCCACTCCTGCCTTATACATTTATACTTCTGGAACCACAGGTAAAAATAAAGACAGGGTTAGGGTATGGATAGGGTGAGGGTGGATGGGTGGTAGGGGCACAGCACCTCCAGAGCTGGCATGCCAGAGGAGCGTGCTGACACACAGAGATCCAAGTAATGCAAAGAATTGCAACACACAAAGAGGTGAAAGAAGAGAAGATTTATTTAAGAAAAGTTCACTTCCCACAGACAGGAAGTGGGCCTACACTCTAGGTGAGTTTGGCCCCATAGTACCCTGGAACTCAGGCTTAAATCCTTTCCCTTGGAGATGCTGCAATCACGTAGGCATGACTGCTATGACTTCTTTGTTGACTACCTGCTAATGTCTTGGAGATCCTTTGACACAGAGACCCCTTATGTCTGCCCACATTAGCAAAGCCCCTAGAGAAGGGCGTGATAAGGATTCGAGTGCTCCTGTACATTCCAGAATAACATTCCTTAGAGCTAATGAAAGGTGCACTTCCCCTTGTCTCTTATACATTCCCAGCAGACAACTCAGGGGGATCCTTGACTTCTCAGCAGACAGCCCCTAATTTACTGGAAGATTGAGTCCCCATCTGCTCCCCTGTCTGAGCCTTCACAAGTCTTGTGATCTGCATAACTTTTGTTATCACAAATTATGTGATTAGCATAACTTATGCCCAATGCCTGAAGTCTTAGACCTTGTAAACTCGCTTTACAAAATGCTGGGCACAAGGAAGTCTGTTTCTGCAAAGACAAAGTCTGCAAGGTTAGTCTTTACCTAAAGTATACATTTCTCCAAAACATAGCTTTTACTTTCTCATTATTGTATTAGGTTTTAAGAATAAGATGAAAAATGACTTCCAGCTCTGGGTCTGTCCTTTCAGTAAGGATTCGCAAAGAAATGGAAAATTTTACATGATGGAATTAAATGTTGGCGTAGGCTTTCAAAACTTCTCTTTCTTTGGCTAAACTTATCAGGTGACTAATATTTCAAGGGATTTAGCTCTTCATCTGTGGGAACTGATCTTATTTCATAACATGTGATCCCATTTGGGTTTCTCTAAGCTATACATGTTTTCTCCCAGTTGGTATAGAACAGATAAAGAGGTTAACCAGGAACTACAAAAATAGTTATGATGGTAGATGAGATTTGGCACTGAAAGTGTTGTTGGAATTTTTTTTAATGCTTATTGTAGTTTGATTATATCAAGTCCATATATAATGTGTAATCAATTATAAATGGAGCACCAGAGAACATCAGTAATAATGAGGTTATACAAGTATGTATATAAATATTTTGACCACGGTCTTCCCATGCAGCACTGACTTGGAGCTGTTTGGTGCTGTGGATGCAGGATGGCTCTAGCATAAGGTCTAAAATACTGTGTTTCATCAAGTCTAGAATGCCTTCAATTATAAGCTACACCGTTATATTATAAGCCACTAAGAAAAAACAGTGCCAATTAACAGTGTTATCGGAACACTGCTATATGGAAGAAGTGATATTAAGGGTAACACGTACTAGGTGTTCTTTAAAGAGCTTTAAGATATTTGTTTAAACAATTCTCCCACCACCCTTGAAATAGGCACTATTCTTACTATAATTTTAAAGATTCGGAACATGACACTTAGAGAGGTCTAAGAACTTCCCGAGACAAAAAGTAAAAGTGTCAAGATTAACTTTGAAGGGTGACTACAGTTCATACAATTGACAGCTTTGCCTCAATGCCTCCTGGTTTTCATGTAACAGACATTTAATGTCTGCCCACTGTAGGCCAGAAAAAACCAAAATGTAATATATGAAGCCTGAGGGATATGTTTAAAAGAAGAGCAGGAGGCCAGCCCCAGCAGGCTGCTGCCGCTGATGATGATTATGGGAAAATTCAATATATGAGTATTATTATTATTATTATTGAAAAATTGACTGGGTGCGGTGCTCACACCTATCATCTCAGCACTTTAGGAGGCCAAAGTGAGAGAATTGCCTGAGCCCATGGGTTCGAGACCAGCCTGGGCAAATTGTTGAGACCTCATCTCTCCAATAAATCAAAAAGTTAGCCGGGCGTGGTGGTGCATGGCTGTAGTTCCAGATACCTGGAAAGCTGAGGTGGAAGGATCACCTGAGCCCAGCAGGATGAGGCTGTGGTGGCTGTGAATGTGCCACTGCCCTCCTGCCTGGGCTACAGAGTGAGACTCCAACTCAAAGAGCAAACAAACAAAAAAAAGAAAAATTGAATATATGAGTCCTTTATTTCTCTTAATGAAATGTTTCATTTATTTAAGCAGGTAATGAATACATTCTCATAAAAAAAAATCAATCATTATAAATAAGGTTAAAAGTTCATCTGAGCCTTTTATCTCAGCAGCAGCCAACAAGAACTGTCTCCTTGTCTCTCCACCACACCCACAGGCCCTCAGCCCCCATCTGATCTCAGAATATTGGCTTCTCTTAATACAGTCACTTTGTTGAATATTTCTTTAAGTAAATGAGTAGGAGAAGCTAGAAATGGCATTGTAAAGCTAGTGCTCAAAGTATAATTTATTTGTCAAAAGTTATATATTGCCATGCCAACAGAATGACATAGTTAACCCATAGCTTCCACTGCATAACACTACCTTAGTTTATGGAATTTTCATCCTTATTTCTTAGTAGAATGGTAAAAGTACATTGTAAACTTTGATTCAGGATATAATAGAGATAAAGTGAGTCCTTGGTTAGTGATGGGGAGTTCCAGTCTTACAACCAAATAGATAAGTATGGAACTTCTTTTCAATGTGTGTTTTGGCAATCACATTGAAAACCCATGTAGAGAGAAGAAGGGAATGAACACTTCCTGATTTCATCTTATAATTCAGAATTTATATTTAATTGGAAGATAGTTGGATTGATGTTTATTTTACTTTTTTCCTTTTCTCTGAATAAAATATTAGCTCAGTTACTCTTGTAAACATGAGTTAAATGAATTGAACTCATTTAAGCAATTGGGGAACAAAATGTTTTCCCTGTTCCTCAAAGGAAGTCACCAAATATAGTTATCAAATATTCTTATTTCTTCATTAATACAAAATCTTAATTTAGGAAAGTTCTGAAAGTACTTCAAAACAACAAAGATAGTCATTTCTTTCTGATAAATATAACTTAGAGCTTTCACTATTAGGACGAATTTTTTCCCCATGGTGAATGCAATTGATTTGTTGATGCTTTCTTCTATTTCTTAATACTAGTATAAAATGGAATGTTAATACTAACACAATGTCACTGACCTGCTTAAATAAATGAAACATTTCATTAAGAGAGATAAAGGACTCATATATTCAATTTTTCTTTTCTTTTTTGTTTGCTTTTTGAGTTGGAGTCTCACTCTGTAGCCCACTGTCAAAGAAAATGAATTTTGAATCAGACTTACAATGATGGCAGTTTGCTGGCTGTATTTCTTTGCTTTATAACAAATTGCTGCTATTTGGGCAGTACCTGACTAAGGTACCATCAAGTATTGAAGAATCTGAGTCTACAGAGATCTACTTTCCTCTTCACAAAGCCTGCTTATCCACTCAGCTCTTAAACTCTTAGCTCCCTTAGCAGTGATTTCATACCCTCTTCCCCAGCTGAACTGATCTTCTATGGGTAGCAATATAAGTATATACTTGGAATAGAAAGTCTTATTAAAGCGTATGTAAATTATGGTTAAGAAAACACAAATGCATTTAGTCTAGCATACTAAAACTACACAGACAGCATTTTTCACCTCTCAGATCGGCAAAAATCCCAACATTTGAGAGCACACATTGGCAAGGCTAGGAAACAGCCACACTCGTATTGCTGATGGAGAATGAATGGGGACAGCCCTTATAACTGGCAATGTGGCAGTTATCTATCAAAATTACAAATATTTAAATATTTTGATCCAGCAATCTCAATGTTAGTGAATTTATCCAACAGATGCCATTTAAAGCATGAAGTGCCACATGGACAAGGTTATTCAACACAGCATCATCTGAAATAGAAAATAGTATCAGTAAATTATAATACACTCTTACAAAGGACTTGAGGCAGCTGAGAGAGAATAAATGAACAAATAAACGAGGAAAATCTCTATATACAAACATGGACAGAGCTCCAACAAACATTGTTAAGTGGCAGAGGAAAAAAATGGGCTTAAGAGTGTGCATATTTTTTAAATGGAAAAGGCAAGAACATGTGAGCAAATGTTCATATTTGCTTATATTCCTATAAAGAAACTCGAGAATAGTACATGAGAAGTTAATAAAATACTTACAAGGGAAGCTGATTGAACGGACTTTATAATCTGTCTAAATCTCAGTCTTCTCATCTATGAATTATATAAAATTATTTATCTCATAAATTGGTTATGAAAATTGACAAAATTTTGAAAATGTCTTGCAAAGTGGTAGGCACGGAGCAAAACTTTAATAGATGTTCATTTCTTTCCCCTCCCTTTCTCTTTAGTTTACCCCTGTAATAACTGTCTAACTCAGGAGTCAGCAAACTATGGCCTGTGAGCCAAATACAGTCTCTCACCTGTTTTTGTAAATAAAATTTTATTGGGGCACACCCATTCCTTTATACTTGTGTATAGCCACTTTCAGCCACAAGAGCAGAGTTAAGGCATTGCAGCAGAGACCATATGACCTGCAAAACCTAGAACATTTACTCTCTGGTCCTTCACAGAAAAAAATTGCCAGATTCTGATCTAACTGGTCATGACCCTTTCCTATACAATTCTAAACCCAGGATAATGAATCTATCTAATTTAGATCTCTCTCTCAAACTGCAAATGGCCAACCTTAGCTCACTCATGCGCTCTCTTGTATCTTTGCAAAGGTCTCCCAAAAGCTGCTACAGTCAACCATCGGCGCATCTGGTATGCAACTGGCCTCTTTGTGGTAAGCAGAATAAGGACAGATGATATCATCTATGTCACTCTGCCCTTGTATCACAGTGCTGCACTTCTGATTGCCGTCCACGGATGTATCCTGACTGGTAAGGTTTTCCTCTCAGCAAAGCCAATGCCCATTTACATCTGCTCATAAGGAAAAGTAATACAAAATGTGGAAATACTTTCCTGTCTACTAGGAATAGCGTTTAATTTTGCATTAATAACTAGACTATTTGGCTCACTTATTGCAAGCATTTTATTTATATTGTATCATGCCTGCCTATCTAGTTATATAAGGCTATAATTATTTAGTATATCAAAAAAGAAAATCCTTTAAACTATTTTAGGTCTTTATCTAGGTTAAGACACTTGATTCTTAGATGCCATAATAATTCTCCTGTGTCATTTTCTTCTTCAGAAACTTGCATGTTGACCTCCATCAGCATCTGACTTGAACTTCTTCTTCTGGTGTCCCCGTTTTCTGTATTCTTGCCCATTCCCATAGCTCCTTGGCTCTAGGCAGAATACTTAGCTTGCCATCTCTTCCCTTTCCTTCTCAAACTTTACTGTACCTATTGGGGTTGCCATCTTTTCTCCTTCCGGTAGAATTTATACCACTTTTTTTTTTGAGTTGGAGTCTCACTCCATCACCCAGCCTAGAATGCAGTGGCACACTCACGGGCACCACAGCGTCAACCTGCTGGGCTCCAGAGATCCTTCTGTCTCAGCTTTCCGAGTACCCAGAACTACAGGCGAATGCTACCACACCCGGCTAATTTTTTTCGATTTATTATAGGGACGAGGTCTCGCCAAGTTGCCCGGGCTGGTCTCAAACCCGCAGGCTCAGGCAATCTACTTGCCTGGGTCTCCCAAAGTGCTGGGATTACAGGCTGAGCCACTGAGCCCGGCCTGAATTTATATCACTTTTACACATTAAGGCAAAGTCCAATGTCCACATCTTCCAGAGAGTACCTGTAACTTTCTGACTCAGCTAAAAACTTAACTCTCTCTCATGTGGCATTTCACTTTAAATATTCATATTAATAGATGTATATATAGTAATACATACATATATATATACACACAAGTATATATGTGTATTATAGACTGGACTTTTGTGTCACTCAAAAATTCACATGTTGAAATCCTAGCTGGCTGCAGTGATACTTGCATCTATAATTTCAGCACTTTGGGAGGCTGAGGTGAGAGGTTTGCCTGAGCCCAGGATACAAGACTAGCCTGGGCAACTTGGTGAGACCTCATCTCTACCATAAATGAAAAAAACTAGCCAGGCGTGGTGGCGCATGCCTTTGTTTCCAGCTACTTGGAAGGCTGAGGCGGAAGGATCACCTAAGCCCAGCAAGTCAAGGCTGTGGTGGCCATAAATGTCCTACTGCATTCCTGTCTGGGTAACAGTAAGACTCCGACTCAAAAAAAAGAAAAAAGAATTCCTAATCCCCAGTGTGATGGTATTAACAGGTGGGAACTTTGGGAAGTAATTGGGTCATACGGGTAGAGCCCTCATAAATGGGTTTAGTGCCCTTATGAGAAGAGACAGGGGAGAGCTTCTTTCCTGTCTTGCTCTCCTCCATTTGAAGACCAGGAAAAAAGCCCTTACCAGACACTGGATCTGCTGGCACCTTGATTTTAGACTCCCCAGCCTCCCAGACTATGAGAAATAAATGTTGTTTAAGCCACTCAATCTTTAGTATTAGTAATTTAATTAGTATTAATAATTTAATTTAGTATTAGTTCAGTCTGTATGTGTACACAGTCTCAGTTCAAGCTGTTATAGCAGCTTGAACTGAGACTGTGTACATACAGACTGAACTTCCCTATTCTGAAAGTCTGAAATCCAAAATGTTCTAAAATCCTAAACTTTTCGATCACCAACACGACACCTTAAGTGGAAAATAGCATATGTAAGTACTTAACACAAACTCGGTTTCATCAACAAAATTATTTAAAATATTACACGAAATTATCTTCAGCCTATGGGTATAAGGTGTATCCAAAACATAATTTTATTAGCCTTGAATTTCATGCTTAAACTCGGGTCCCATTCCAAGATATCTCATGTTTATGCCAATATTCCAAAATCCCAAATACAAACACTTCTTCTGATCCTAAGCATTTCAGATAAGGGATACTCAACCTGTATATGATTGCCCAAGCCTAACCTTCTGTCACTCATCCACTGATTGATTAACTATAAAATACTTAGCCTAACATCAGTAGCAGTCCCTAGTCAGCAAGGAGTGACTGAGCCTGGTCATATTGCTGGGCCCAAGAGCAGAGTGACTCTGAAGCTTCCAAATGGACAAATCAATCGCTTAATCACCCAAGTATGTGCTGAAGAAGGCAAATTAGTATTTTAAAAAATTTTCTCCTCTTCTCACACATTGGATGTTAGTATATTTAGGAGTAAAAAGTGAATTAATATAATGGAAAAATATCTGTGAGATTTTTTTGGGTGGGGGGAGAGGGGAGAGTGTCACTCTATCAACCAGGATGGAGTGCAGTGGCACAATCAAGCTCACTGCAGCCTCAACCTCCTGGGCTCAGGCGATCCTTCAGTCTCAGCTTCCCAAGTAGTTGGGACTGCAGGCATGCACCACTATGCCCAGCTAATTTCTTGATAGTTTTGTAGAGACAGGGTCTCACATGTTGCTAGGCTGGTCTGGAATTCCTGGACTGAAACAATCTTCCCACCTCGGCTTTCCAAAGTGATGGGATTATAGGCATGAGCCACCACACCCAGCCATTTGTGAGATTTTTTAAAATTTATTTTTGAGTTGGAGTCCTATCATTCTGTCCCTCAGGCTGGAGTGCAGTGGTATACTCACAACCACCACAGCCTCGCTTGGCTCAGGTGATCCTTCCACCTCAGTTTCCAAGTAGCTGGAGCTATAGGCATGCACCACCACACCCAGATAATTTTTTGATTTATTGTAGAGATGAGGTCTCACCAAGTTGCCCACGCTGGTCTCGAACCCGTGGGCTCAGACAATCCAATCAGCTAGACCTCCCAAAGTGCTGGGATTGTAGGAGTGAGCCACTGCACCCAGCCTCATTTATGAGATTTTTAAATTTCATTTTTACAACACTTCATGCCTATAATTAGATTGAAAAGATAAATATTTTTACCCATTTTATAGTTCATGTTATTAGTTTTATTGCTGCTATAACAAATTACCACAAACTTAGTTGCTTAAAACAACAGATGTATTATCTTACTATTCTTTTAGAAATCCTAAAATCAAGATGTTGGCAGGGCTGCAGATCTTCTGGAGACTACGGGGGGAATGTATTTTCTTGCCTTTTCCAGCTCCTAATGTATTTTCTTGCCTTTTCCAGGCTGCCTAAATTTCTTAGCTCATGGTCCCTTCCATGTTTAGAGCACGTCACTTCAATCTTTGTTTCCATGATCCCATCCCCTTCTGCCTTTGACCTTGCCTCCCTCTTAAAAAGACCTTTGTGACTTCACTGCAACTTGGATGGATTTAGAGTCTGTCAGACTCAGTGATCTGTCACAGAAACAAAAACTGAGTACCACATGTTCTCACTCGTAAGCGTACCCTGAACAATTAATTATAATACTATAAGAAAGGAATTGGCAGTAGTGGGAAACTGCCAAGGGAAGGGGGGTCACACATCATCATTAAGGGTACCTGATCTCAAACCAGGTGAACTGGGGACAAAAGAGAGGCCCAAAACTTACCTGTACAATGACCACTTGTCGTTGTACAATACCTAATCCTGAATTGTACCCCACATTCTTAAAATAATACCAAAAAAAAGAGAGCTTTGTGAGTACGTTGGGCATACCCAGAGAGCCCGGGATAATCTTCCCATCTCAAGATCTTTAACTTAATCCCATCTACAAAGTCT